TGGTGACATTATGCAAGTATTTTAGTTTTTAAAATATTACTTAGTGAGAAAAGGTCGAAATAAAATCTTTTGTTATACGTCACACACGGTGAGGATTGTCAGCATGATGGGGGTGAGCGGTAGAGGGGGAATGTCGTCTTATTACGTGCATGTTAGGGATGGTCAGTTAGGACGTTCCACACCCTTGTTGTGTTATAACGTATGCTCCACCATTATTTAAAAATGTTTAAATGCGATCAATGTGATTTGGAATTCGTGTACAAGACCAATCTGACTGCTCACCGGAAAACACATTTTAAAATGTTTAAATGTGATCAATGTACTTTGGAATTCATGGCGAAACGGAGTTTGGTCGCTCACCAAAAAACCCATGAAGGTATTCGTTTTCCTTGCACTGCGTTACATTCAGTTACAAAACCAACCTCAAAAAACATTTGAAAAATATTCACGGTAAGAATTTCTGTTTAGCACTTTAAATATTTATATTATATATATATTTTTATAATAGGTATCGTACAAGCCCCGATTCAGGAAAGAAATATCCGAGCCAAACCACGTGTACCCACCCCCGATAATGTTCGTGGTAAGTATTGTTGATTATCACTTTAAATATTTATTTATATTATATTATATTATATTTTTACTAGACACCGTACAGCAGGGAAATATACAGATCGCACCACATATATCCGTTCCCGATATTCCGGCAGGACCGTCACGACATACCACTCCAACACTGCTACCAACCCGAAATGACCGCGCATCAACCATGCGAGATTGCCCGGCAAAACCGCCTACCCAAAATGATAACGTATTATCAGTACGAGATAAACAAAATACCCACGTGCCGACAGTACGAGATAATATAACGGACACATTAATGTTTTTCATTTATTATTTCATAAACCCCATTTGGAGTAGTGCTAAAGATGATGATGACATCATTTTGTCTCGCGAAGACCTCATAAGGATACATGGAGAAGGTTTTCAGCAAGGGTAAGCTAAAATTGTTATTATATTTTATCATTTTCTACATATTAAAATTTTTGTAGTGAGATAAACAACGACGATGTTATTGAAATATAATTCAATTTCGTTACGTGACCTTTATGAGGTATATTTGGTTCTGCCAGACCGTAACACAGGTTTCAATGAATGGGCAACACGTGCGGCATTAGTTCCCCGAGATTTACGCTTAGAGTTTAATGTGTTGGGCGTAATAATGGTCGATAATTTCACAGACAATTCAATTCCTATAGATGAATTCATAGTAAGTTTAAACATAGAAAAATATTAATTAAAATGAATAGTTTTACTAACCACTTAAAACTTGTAGGTACAGATATCATTTCAAGACTTATTTCCATTGATTAGAACAATTACTGAACATCATACACAATACTATATATTTTTTCAGTTAATATATAGAGATCGCGGATGCGGTGTCAGGATCGGCATATATATTCTACTGTCATTTAATTTTTATAACCACCCCATAGACTAATTAGGATTTTTTTTTTTTAAAGATTCATACACTACGCTTGATAATGGAAAACGTGTTTCCAGTGCCAACACTAGATCAGCAGTTAGGGCAAAAAAATTACGTTCGAATCTCGTAAAGTCCCCCGGATTTCAACCAATATCTACATCGGATAACAATACTATCACCTGGTATTACGTAAAAAACACCAATAATATTCAAAACTATATTAACTTCCTCGATTCGATCAAATCCGAACTAGTCAATTTACTAAAATCAATTGCAAGTAAAAATCCAATCAAGTTCAATTTAAAGCTTGAAGCGACATATAATATAACAAATGTTGAATATTCGTCAGAAAACCGTGCTTTTAAAACTTCAGCTAAGGCGGTTTTCTGTGTAACTGGAGTACAGGAAATTGTTGAAGAGGCATTTACTAAATTAATGAAAGAGCAAGACGAGTATGCAAGCAAGGGTAGTGGTTTCACATTACAATGTATAGACTGTTTAATGTTAGGCGTATATAAATATACACCTATGGGTGGATCATCCTACATGTCACTAACAGTCCCAATACAAAATAAAAAAGCTGTGATTAAACCTCAAAACTTAGACATGCAATGCTTCAAGTGGGCAGTCCTAGCAAAAACATGTTACATGTTACATTAAAATCTCCCGATATTACTGATTTAGTTGTATTTATACTTTCGAAGCCTATGTACCTCAAATGTTTATTCCTGTGCTACTCTGTTAAAATACTATGGACGTCAATTCGAGTAAATATATATCACAGAGGAAAAATATATTTCATTCTCGAAGTATATAAACAACTCGTTCTCCGTCAGCTTTATAGACCCGTGCTGGTTCATGGCATCGAGCTTGGCGGACTTGGCGAAGAACCTCACCTCTGACAAGTTTTGCGAAGTCGCGAAAGTGTTCGCACCGTCAGAGATGTCCATGGCCACGCGGAAAGGCGTATATCCGTACGAATACACGGATTCGAGGGGAAAAATTGTCCGTGAGGTCGCTACCGGACAGGCCCCAGTTCTATAGCACGCTGACGGAGACGCATGTGAGCGATGAAGATTACGATCATGCGAAACGGGTTTGGAACCATTTCGGCTGCACGTCGCTAGGCACATATAGTGTCTTGTACCTACAAATCGATGGGCTGATCAGCGCCGACGTCTTTGAAAATTTCCGGGATATATGTATGGCCACATATCACCTGGACCCCGTGCATTACTACATGTCGCCCGGATTCAGCTTTGACATTATGATGAAGTTTACGAAAGTCGACCTATCGTTAGTGTCTCAAGGTCGATCTACGAATTCATCGCTTTACGCGCCAAGTCTTATGAATACGACGTGGAAGAGGAGATTACCATTCACGCAAAGGGTGATCAAAAATCACCTGACTTTCGCAGATCATAAGCGGTGCTTATTCGCCGACGTGGACGACGATGAGGAATCCGACAAGCGTGATGACGAATTCGACGGTAGTATGGGAAAAATATTCGCTGCCGACTCAGCGCTGAAGGCCGTCACCCAAATACATCGAAACGCCGCAATATCTGCTACGCATTCGACTCAGGCGTCAACGGTCACGTGGCCGTTCCACGTTTACAGCTACATGCATTTCACCCCGTATAGAGAAAATGTCTCTATACGGTCGTTTAAGCACGAATTGCGTACAAACTAGTTTTAAACAGGGCTGGCGATAAGCGTCATGTGTTACCGGATAACATTTCGACGTACGCGACATATTAATATGTCGTCATAGAAGTGCTCGTTTTTCAACTATGTCCTCAAGCCTCAATGTGTGGTAAGTTTTATAATTTTGTACCGCTCTATTCAAATTAAAATGTATTTATTATTTTTAGTCACCGCAATTATTTCAGAAGACTTACAATCCGGCTCACTATACGCTATGTATAGTCAAACCAGAGGTCTAGGCCGTGCAAGAATCGCTCGGATTTAATCCAGGTCAGAGATTTCTGTGGAAGTCGCCCGACTCTTGAGAGCAGGACGCCCAACGATTAACGCCGGATTGCTATATCCCGCCAGCTGTTCTCGACCCGATATCCGGTCAATTTGCAAGCGTTGGAGATGCGCTACGTAACTCTTAATATATAAATAAAATCGCTATAGAATTAAATATTTTATTAATGTTTCTCCCCAAACCACGTTTTGATAACATTTTTAGTTCATTTGAAGTAACGATTTCCCGAATACCGTAAGTATAATTACCGTAAATTGGGGTGACATTGATAATGACGGGTGACTTTGAAAATGTTGTTTTATTTTATTAAATTATACACTATGGCTACACTGCACGGAAAGAATTGATTATTTTTGTATATATTGATAAAGAAATATAGTCTTATAACGATAACGGTTATGATCTGATTTATTATCAATTATTTGAAACGTGTGTTGTCTTCAATCTCAACGTTATTTTAAATGTAAAATAACGTTTTAGAATTAGCTGCGCAAAGTAAGTAAAAATGTTATTTATTTATAATTTTATAAGTTATATTTTATATACATATCATCATGATTTAAATCATACTGTGTCATGTTATTTTCATTTATTGTTGTAAGCAATATAGCGTTTCTTATCGAGGGGTGAAATTGATAGTAGTGTTGGGGTGATTTTGATAATCTTATTTATGTATTTATTACATGTATTTCAATATTATTTTAGTGTTCGTGTGTACAAAAAAAAAGGTTGGCAGTCGCCCATATGCCAATATAAGAGATGTAGTTTTGGAAGCAGCATCAATATCGAGCTAAGAAATGTGGTTCTTTGTACAAAAAATTTATGTTTAACCATACTGGTATTTCTCTATCGGAAGTAATTAATTAAGAGCTGGTAGATTGGAACATCTTAAATAAAATAGTTGCAATAGTAATAAATGCTTCGGGTAATAAATGATAATAAATAATAAATAATTATATAGCAGTAATAAATGACTCGAGTGATGACAATTATGAAACTAACTGAGAAAAACAGAATGAGAAGAAAAATTCGAATTTGTAATAAGGAAATAAATCTTTTCATATCAATATGTGTATAAGTGCAAATAAATGTAATATAAGTGTAGTAAAAGTGAAAAAAATTCAATTATAATCTCTGTTATAGGGGGCTACGGCCAATTTTCAAAATTATTTTACCCATCTTGTCATTACATTTAATGGGGAAAATAAACAAGGAAAAGTAAATATGTATATTTTTTAATTTAATGGTTGAGAAATTTAAAAACAAAATGTATGTTTTAGACCATTATGGACAAGGAGAATGGTAAAAATTTGTCAATTAAAATTAAAATTATTATAAAGGCTGTTCAATCATCTGGCCTTACTATTGTATCAACAATTTGTGATCAAGCTCCAACTAATTTCTGCAATTAATAAACTACCACAAAGAAATCAATGAAAAATATAATAAAAAAAGGTTAAGAAAACAGAGGATTTGGTTTTGAAATTTAAAATCAAGAAATCATACCTCGATGTACCTACAATGCACCTCGTTTATGAAAATTCTAATAAACAACTACTAGCGTTTTACATCTTAAATACGTCGCTGAATGCAAATGTTCATGTTTATTCTATCAAAATTATAAGATCAATATTAACCTAATATTGATCCTACCTAACCTAATACAATTTGTCATATCGGTACTTGAATTCATAAAAAAGGGAGTTATTGTTTCTACCTTTTATTTTTATCATTAGATTATATTATAACAAATATCTTATCTTAAGATAAGAAAACATCCAAGTGAAAAGAGAAGCTATTCTAAGTTAAAATCATAATTTATTGCGAAACCCTCGACACCGGCCCACGGAGCCATTGGGTTACGTAAGGCAGTAGGGAAATACTGATCTAAAAATAGTTTTCTTGTAGAAAATTAAATATACAACATATATCTGAACGCGTATATAACCCCTGATTATTTTTGTTAATTTTTAAGTGGGAGGTATTAGTCATTAGGGACAGATTTTTTTCAAAAGAAATTTCAATTTTATAGTATAAAGAATAAAAATATTCACCAGTGTTAATTTAACCGTATATTGTCATGAATATTGTAAATAAATAGTCATAGAGAAATAATTTGACTTAGTTTTTTTTGATAAATATTACCATTTTATTTAAGTATTTATCTCAATTCCAAAAAAAGAAATGGACATTTGTTAACTAAAGTTAGTTAACTAAGTTAGTTAAATTTAGAAATAATAATTTTCTTGGCTCACCTACCTAACTTATTTGAAAATCGTCTTGAGTTCTGTTAAAATATGTGTGATACCAATATAATAAAATCGCAATTCACAAACACTAAATAGCGCTATTTAAATATGTTCATCCAAATTAATTGTATATACACTTTTCGTGCCAATTTAATTTTAAATTATATAATAACATATCATATTATCATCATCCAATATTTTAATGTATTTTTAACTAAATACAAATTGAACAGTGCCTGTCTATTTTATATATTAGAAACATCTATATATTCTATTAAATACCTATAATATAAAATTACTGATTTATCATAGTTGTTCAAAATTGTCCACTTTATTGCATATAATATAGGTACTACCAGTATGTATATAAACATTATTTGTAACGGTTGCTACAATACTTGGACAACGCTTATATTTTATGATTTATGTTCATAATCATAATTCATTACACAAGATGGAACTTACATGCCATAACAGCTGTTCCACTTATACATACATTTGAAAACACTCAGAACTTACAGAACGCTATGTCTTGCCAGAGGTTCTTTTAGTGTACAGATTTGTCAATTTTGAACTATAGGATCAAAATCATACCGTCAAATTATAATTCATGAAACCAACAATACATTACATTGGTTATACGTAGATGTATTAGCTACATACATAAAAATGAGATCTGTCAATTGCTCATTGTAAATTAATCTCCAAGCACTCTTGTCCAAGTAAATACATAGTTTTCTATTGACTTATATTAATAGTGGCCAGTAGGTACCTATACCATAGTTAAAAGTGGACATTCAACAGAAATTAAATATAAATTAATATTTTGTTATTTCATATCAGGTAGGTAAATGATAATTATATGATAATATATTATTATTTCTTACTGATTCTAAGTGTATGAAAATTAATTTTAAATTATATCAGCAATGCTATATATTATGCAAAACTCAGTACACAATATTAAGCTTCAGTATGAAACATAGGTTTAACAGAATACTTGATTTACATACTTATTGACAAATTGAAGCTACCTATATCTTTTCATTATAAGGTTTATTACTTTTACTTCTTATCATTATATATTGTTTCTCTACGACTAATTACTTTTAAGTAAGTATTACATTTAATTAGCTCGTCTGAAATGTATTCATGTGTTGCCATAAACTTTTTTTGGTAACCTAATAGATTTTAATAGTAATTTTTCATGGGACTTTTTATTTAATTTAAAAAATTAAACAAATAACAGATCAAGGTGTGTCAATATGTTAGGGAGTGATTCTTTTCATGTTCAAAGTTTTAATACTGTATACTTTTACTTCATATAAGTTTTATGATATTTAACAAGTTATAACTTATTAACCTTAGGTGATTTTATATTATTAACTATCCCAGAAATTTAATTAATTCCTATAATAGAAGTCTTTAAAAATGGCATACATTTGAAGATGCATGAGTAAAATAAAACAATGTATTTTAAATTATGTATATAATATTTTATGTAGCTGATAAATAGGATGTCAATCAAAAGTACCGATACCACAAATTACAAAGAAGGTTATAATATATACAATTATACAGCAATTGTTTATTTTCTAGTGCAATATATTAAATAATTTAAAGTTTTTTAATAATTTATTAGTATATAATTAATTTAATTAGATGACATGTCTACTCTTGAAAATTATTAATAAGTTTTTAAATCTATTAGGTACATAGAAGTATAATTTAAATATTGATTTCCTAACCCTACTTCATTCACAATAAAACTATTATTATTTTCAATGGCAGTGTAATATAGATTTACCTATCCAAAAAAATATGCGTGTTATTATTAAACACTTATTAGAATAGGTAGGTATTTAAAATCATTTATTAAATGTTGAACAGAGTGATCAGAAATAAATGGAAATTGAATGTTTCTCAATTAAAAATTATATGTATTCCTCGATGTATTCTATATATAATTGTTATATAAATGTAATTTATTTTATAGATAAAAAGAATCAAAACATTGATAAGAATAGAAATTACACATTTTATAAAAATATGCTTACAGAAATAATTTGCCAATGAGATATCCACACAAATATCCTTTACTGGAAAAGCATTTTAAAAATTATAATCCACAGTCACAGATGGCTTCAATAAAACTTGATTTTAGTAAATATGTATTAACTCTAATCCAAAAAACAACCCCCCCTACCAATTTGATTTTTCGTTTACTGGCCTTCGCGATCTCGTTTTTTTCAAAAAGCCATGTAGTCATCAAATATTCCCGATACATGGGACATGGACCACGATACGAACCAAAATTTGCTGCACAAAAGGAAGCAAATCTCACGTACCCCGGATAACATTGTCAAGAAAAAAGATTTAAAATTCCCTGCGGTGCCAACTAACATCGACACCAACAGCTCACTGGACGCTGCAGCCAAGGCTACCAGTTACACCTACAAACTCGTTCAAGGTCTCGAGTACTACCAAGAAGATTATATCGAGCTGTGCTTGGCCAAAGTCGTGAAGGACAAGAACAAGTATGCGAGGCCCTGTCTCACCTCTCCAAGGAGCGAGTTCAGCAGTTCCTTAGAAATTCCTTTAGAGTTCAGTGCTATTTTAGAAGCTTTATTTTAATCAATATGAATAGTTTAAATATATTATTTTGTAGGTAATGATATTAATGTAAATTAGGTAGATATGACAAATTATAAAATAGATAGGTAACTTAATTAGTAACCTAAGATAACTTATTCCGTTTATATAATTGTATTGTTCAGATACACAAGGAAGACACTTATCTCTTTTGTAGTGTAATTAATAGTACTTTTCAACAATAATGGATTTCTACCACCAAAACTTCCTCAAAAAAAAAAAGATTTCCAGTAAAAAACTTGGAGGTGGTCATGTTTTTCCAGAGTTTCATGATGAAAAGTCCTATTATAGGATCTCCATTTATTTTCCAGTTTTGGATATTGTCATAAAAAGATAGATTTAATGAAAATGATCTATCTATTTTAAACTCACTGATCAAATACTGACTAATGAAAACACTCGTCAATCTTCAATTCAAGAAGTGTGCAATTTCTATGGACCAAATGAAGAAGACTTAATTGCTGAATTACAAATATTTAACAAAATGTTTAAAAGCTGTGGAAAAGTAAATAACATTGAAAATAGAACTTTATATTTGAAAAACAAAGATATTCAAAATGGTTTTCCAAGTATAGTTGAATTGTTAAAAAATTTTTTAACCATTCCCACAAGCAGTGTATCATGTGAAAGATCATTTTCTTCATTAAAAAAACTTAAAAACTATTTAAAACTACCATAGGTCAGGAACGTCCTTCGAACATGGGTATATTATTATACATTGAAAAAGAAAGAAAAGTAAATAATGAAAAAATAATCAATCTCTTCAATAAGAACAAAAACAGAAAAATTGATTTACAATAGATAATAATAATGATTTTTGTATTATATGTGTTCCTATAAATTAAATGTGCCATCATGAAAAAAAATTATAAATATATTATAATGTGGCTTTTATTTTAAAACTAAACTGCAGATGTAATGATTATTTTTAGAATTATTTAGGAGGAAGTTACCATCCATTCAGTGGTTTAAACATAAGGATAAGGTAAAAAGGAACATTTTAATTTTGGCTCTAAAATTTAATATTTTATAAAGATGGGTGCAGGGCATAGGCCTGCATAGTGTTTTAGATTTTGGGGGCTTGGCAGAAAACAAATTTTTGTCAAAATTAAAGCTGTTTATCCTTCATCAATTGCCAATCATCATAAACTCATGGTACAGCAAAAACTATGAATAGGAAGCCAAAATTGTAACAACTTATGGATATTAAAGCCAAATAATGTAGTACCTCGTGTAGCACTTACATGCGAACCATATAAATTTGAAAATTGTACTATTAATTTTAATATTTAAGCATTAACTAATAAAAAAAAAAGTTAAATACCTAGTAAGTAAATTAATTTTTTAACTTAACATGTTGGTTACATTTTTAATTAACTGACAGAGTAAACATATTATATAGGTTATTGATTAGTTTTATTTTTGTTTAACTATGCTGTATATAACGATGTTAAATAAAAATAAACAAATATTTATTTTTTTTAGCATTACCACTAATGGGAAACAAGAACTAAGAAGGAATTTAATGTAGAAATAGTAGATTTAAAATTTAAATCATACTAAATGGTTTAACCATATGCAAGTGTGAATATGTAATCCATGATTAAAAAAATTAATCAAGTACCTATCTTTTCCATATTAAATTTTCAGTTGGATAAACTCCTAATACAGCAATAACTATTTTTTATTTTAATAAATTGTATCATCGTAGATGGAAAAATTAATTGTATCTGTGTAATTAATTTTTATTTTACAGTGTACCTCACAAAATGCAAAGTGTATGGTGTGGTGTACAGTGTCCAAAATTTCTTTTATTTATCGATGTATCGTTATATTGTTGCGGTGATTGGTTTGTTCCATCGAAATCAATAGGAAGTTATAAAATATACATAATTCTTTGTTACATGTGATAGCTGCAATTTTTCCATCTCCTTAACCGGAGCATAATATATCTAACATTGTTTTCTCTACACAAGATAATAACTCAAGTTTTTCAGGTTCCAAATTGAAACAAAAGACTGTTTTAATTCAATCGAATTCAATTAAGTTTGAAGCTATTACGATTCGTAAAGATAATTCACAAAAATTCAAAAAAAAATCATAAGGGAAAATGTAGGGTATACTTAAAATCCGCCCTATTAGACATACTTGTAAATTAATATATTAAAATTGTGCTTATACTATTACCAATTCCTCGAATTGGCCACAATGAAAATACGTCACTCCGACCATCATCCCGTCAGGTTTCGTAGACATCGAAACGAGCGCGATCTTCTTGTGCATGAACGGAAATCATTAAATGCTTGTAATGCGCAAGAAATCGTCTACGTATAATGGTGGACACTGGATGAATGGACGGTTATTGTACAGTAAGAAAATTTAAGCTTTGAATAATATATTATGATTTGAAATTATTAAGGCAGTCGGTGTCCTCGAGCAGTACGCGCCTCGAATCTCGATCGAACTACACTACTACAGCACTGGCAAGCGACTGGCGGAACGTGTAACGTGTTGATCGAGTGTATCGACTATTCGAACATTCCAGGTACCGCCGCCGCTTTACCGGCTGCCATACAAGGGATGAGTCTACTCCGATTCCGGAAGAGCGAGGCAGCTGCGATGTCATTACTCAGTGACTATTGGAGCTAAGACGAATCGGTTCAATGTTTAAAAAAAAAAATGCAGTACACGTGTACGACCATGCGACACATTTGTATACTGACAATGAATAAATGAGGAGACGGCCGGACGGGTCTCACGCATTCGGCACGTTTTACCTTTTTGAATGCAGCAACAGCTGCAGTTGTATACAAAACACAAAACATGTTTTATCGTTTGAATACAAATAAAAACTCGCCGACTTGTTGTTAATATTTATTTTTGTGTCCAGTACCGATTATTTATTAAGAGTTCCTATTCCCATATACATATATAATACTATGTTATGTTATTAACTGCGCCATAAACGACCGACGCCAGCCGGTGTCACTGACGCCGCGACATAATACCATTGCTCAAATGTAAAAGACGGTTATTATCGTGCACATGAGAAGTCGTATATTATATTATATTTGTATATAGCCGGTAATGGGGAAGAAAAACAGATTAGGTACCCATTTATGTTTGTGATATTTTACTTATTATTTAAGATATCTGCAGGTGCAGGTACTTGTAGAAAATCAATATTATCATTAATTATTTTAAGTTGCCAAAAATTACAATATATCCGTATTGCCGAATGTCGGCGGGGGAGGGTCACCTTTTAAAAAGTAATTTCGTAATTTTGCGGAATCTTGCACAGTATGAGAATTAAAAAAATTCGGATCCTTCTGTACTATACTGGCGTACAATTAATTCATGGGTTTGGTTAAGCTGACCACATTTTTCCAAATATTTTATATACATTATTTATTACGATCTCTCATCACGAATCTAGGAAAAAAAAGCCCCGGAAAAAAAAGCCCCTAACAACATTCATCGGAAAAAAAAGCCCCGTCATAGGAAAAAAAAGCCCAATACCAACTAACAACCTACTTTACAATAATCTGATATATAATAGGTCATGTTTGTATGTTACGATACATACTATTCAGTTATTAAACAAACACTTATTTATCACTTTTTTTCAATATTCTATCATTTATATCCAGTTACTTCTAAGTTTATTTTCCACCTACTAACTATTATTGCTTACAACCTGCTAATAGATTATTCCATTTCAGATCCAAAGACATGATTTAAATATATACCTATATTGTTTATATTTTTACATTTTGTTGACCTATTTAAGTTTAAATCACCATCAATTTATTTTATTTTGTATTTTAGAATCACTGTCTGGTTGGATAAATACCTCACAAGACAACAAGGTATTTAAAGAAATAATTTCAAATATTTTGAAACATTTCCGTCAAATCAAGATCAAAAAAAACTTACAGAAGCAATCACTGGAATATTTCAATGCCACTGGCATACACAAGTGCAATCGTCAAGTGATACTTGATGAATTCCCTCTAGAAATTGATGAAGCTCTAGTTAATAACACATTAACTACTTATTTGAAGTCATAGAGGTTTGATAAGAATCAGAAAAGAAAAAATTAATGATGTTCCAGGTGTAAGTGTTACTTTAGCCATTTGGGGGGGGGGGGGGGTCAAACAGCGACACAGAAGATGAAACCATACCATTTCAAGATACTGATTCCGAAGAAGAAACAAATAATCATGTGCCATAATACTATGAGCCTAGTCAATACTAGGCATTGATACTTTAAAAATAGGCACCTTTATATTAGTCATGTTTGGTAAAAGGAAAAATAAAAGATAATATCAGTATGTTGCTGTTATAAAAAAAATTACTGATGGTGTATATTGTGTGAATGGCCTACAGTCAATTAAACTCACCAAAACAATGTTCAAAATAATTGAACATGATATATTTGATGTTGATATTGAACATGTTATTGCTGCCCTCCCAAAATTGAAACAGTAGAACACTGTGTAAGGTATTTATTTACTTTTGACATAGACATTATGTAAACATAGTCTGGGCGTAGGTAATACATAAAACAAAAGACTAAAACTAATTAACTGTTCCTTTACAGAGATGCCTGGTAGTTACCTATTTACATATTAAAATATTAAAAGTATTAAGTTTGATTTTATATTTATATTCTCACATTGTTATTTGTTATTATATTCACATGTATTAAAAGTCATATCTAGGTAGTAAATATTTTGAGACTGATAATAATAAATCTTAAAGCTAATAGTTATTCACCTAGGTACCTACATATTAAATTATAATTCTTGTTACGTTTTCTATTACATTTGTATTATTTTCATTTTATTACGTTTGGATAAAATAGCAGATTGCCTATCGTCGTTGACACGAAAAAACCTCCTATGTGCCAAATTTTCGATTTTGAGATATTGGTATCCCTGGATTCAGAAAAAATAGGCGGTCATTTTGATAAAAACTCCTATGTGCTAGAGCCATCGTAGAATTAATGAAAAATAATATACAATTTCTCCTATGTGTTACCAACCATAAATCGTTTATATAATACCTCCTATGTGATTAAAAATTTGGTCAAAATTACATTGGAGATATTGGCATGCAGAGTAGATGTAGTGTCATGTATGAAATATGCACTATTGATTTTAATATGCAATATTGGAAAAAAAACCTCATAAAATAAAAATTGCTCAATTTGTTGGCGAACAAATTAAAACAAATTTAATGCATTCACTTATTATTGAAGAAGATTGTATTCCACATCTAGAATTTATAATTAAGCATTTGATAATTTGTACTTTTTAGAAATTTTAATTGTTGTTCGAAAAATTTAAAACATGTTAAAAGTGAAAAATCAAAAAAAAAATTAAAAATTAAAAATAATATTTAAATAACTTAAGTTTTTTTTTATCATGTAATATTGGGAATGTTATTGAATGTACAAAATGTATCTATAAAAAAAATAGTTATAAAAATATTGTAATACTATAAGAATTAAATATTTTTTTTTTAAGATTAGCTACTAATTTGTATTTATTTGTATTAATAATAATGAATTTTGTATTATTATTATTAATTATAACTAACCTATGTTTTGATTGTTTAAGTTTATTAAAAAGTAGAATGTCTAAATAATTAATGTTTAAGGTTACAATATATTATATGAATTTAAATTAATGTGCAATGATTAATTGTCTTCAGCTGGAATTTTATGAAAAAAAGTGAAATAAATATTAAGTAAAATATTTACGTTGTAATTTAATGGCGAAACCTATCTTAACCTATTTTAATGAAATATATAATGGTCAGCTTAAAACTATATGATATAATATAAAATATGTATAATAAACTTTATTTCCTTCAAATTAAAATTAAAATTATAAAAATACGATGATTACTTATTAAAGCAATACATTTAATTAGAACAATTTTCAAACCACAACATTTAGGTTTCTAGGACCGATGAAAAATTAATTGCATGAAATATAATATAGAAAATAATAATATATTAATATTATTATATTATCACATATTATGCTATAAGATATTAGATTATTTCTTATCTCAAATATCCAAGAACGAACAGTGGACTCTGAACTGGCGACAATTGTCGGCGTTACTATCCATTTTTAGTATTTACTATTTTACGTCAATAATAATAATTTAATTTCCAATTGTGACACTACACGCTATCTATTGAGAGAATGCGCTATTAATTAACTAGTTTCCATTATGCCCAATGCCGTGGGCTATCTATGTATATTTAATCAATGGTTAAAATACAGTTAAAGAAAATAAAATGTATGTCATTAACTGCAGACATTTGGACAGATTCACATACCACAACATCATATTTAGGAATAACTGCACATTACATAGGTTTGAACTTTTTCTTAGCATTTTAAAGTTTGTTTATTCAATAAATCATATTTATATTTTTGTTTTAGATCAATCCAGACTTCATTCAATTACTCTTGGGCTGGCAGCATTAGACAAATCACACACAGCATCTTATATCTCTGAGAAGTTTGAAGACACATTGGGAAATATCAAAGGATACTATCATTGCAGTTATTACAGACCATGCCAATAATATGGTAAGAGCTGTGAAAGATAGCTTTGGGCATGATAAAGCCTTACAATGTTATGCCCATTGCTTAAATTTATTGGTCGAACAAGCGCTCGAAGATTCACCAAGTATATCTGTCATAATAAACAAAGTAAAAAAAATTGTAACCTACAGCAAACAAAGTGTTAAGGCAACTGATGTAATCAAAGAAATCCAAAAAAGTAATGGATGTTATGACATCCTGTGCGGCCCTCCAACCGACACATTACCCGACGACGCAGTGGAAGAACAGTATATAAGTACATCCACAGAAGGTTATGATTATGAATCAGGTGATATTGGACATAAACGACATTTTATACAAAAAACCCTTAAAGAACATGTAATAGTTACAACACCTGCCAAAAAAAAAGGTTCTCGATATACATGGCTGTAAATAAATTTTTTTTTGCAAATGCAATTTCGTTCAATGCATCAAGCTCATTGTACTACACCGAAATGTTTGATGCTATTCGTCCTGGCTATCGACCACCCAATAGGAAGCAATTAGCTGATACGTTACTAACTGAAGCTAAAGATTGTGGATCTGAAGCAAAAACAGCAGATTACTGTACAAATCTATTAAAAGCCGATATAGAATTGATAAAAAAGGATTTCAATAACAATGTAAGTATTTCTAATTCAACGCCTAGTTTAATAGTTACCTATCTGTTATGTTATATTATACGACCATCAAAGTAGTTTTATCCTATAATTTAAAGTAATTGCAATATAAAAAAAGTAAAATTAATTATCATTAAATCATTATTTTTTGGTATAGGTGTTTGCTATTTGTACTGATAACGAGAACAAAATGTTACTAATGCGTCAGAAAATAAAAATTGAATACCCAGATATATCTTAGAATATGATTGTAATGCACACTATCTCAATCTGCTTGAAAATGAGTTGACTCAAAGTACTATTTTATGCAATATTGAGAAGGTGGAGAAGTATTTTAGAAATCATCATAAGCAACATGTAAACAAAACTTTTTATATTATATAATATTGTAATAAATTATCATGCAAGGGTTTTTGCATTTTGGTGCAATTCAAAATACAGTTTAAAATTTAATATATATATATATATATATATA